AGATATTGGTGCATAACTTAATCCCATATTAAAACCTAATATCCAATTCCCCCTCTCATCTCTAAACACTTCTCCTATTCCCCCCGTTCCTGGGTTACCCGCACAGGCTCCATCTATATTAAGCTTGTAGAAATTTGGATTGGGAGGTTCCCATTTTACATAAATGGTATCTTTAACAGGTTTTAGAAGATTGTTTTTTTGCCAAGTAAAGGAATTCGATGGCCCTGTTGATGGGTTGGCTTTTGTTAATGGGTGTTATATTTTTACCAAAGAGGATACCATTCCTAAAGTTCCAGATATGCCATAAGAGGAATGGGAGAAAGTCTGACCAACGGAGGAACTTGTCAAAGGATTCTTTTGACAGGAGTTTCTTTTTAAGCCAGATTTGAAGGAAGTCTTTTCCTTTGGGATTTAGGTCAAAGGGATGTTTTGAATTAATTTGATACCAGATTTGCCTAGAGTAGTTGCATCGGAAGAGGATGTGCTCTATATTCTCCGTCTCTTTATTGCAAATATTACAAGTATCTTCGTGGCAAATCCCTCTCTTTCTTAGCAATTCTTTAGTGGGTAGTCTATCCCAGAAGATTGTCCACAGGAAGAATTTCAATTTATTTAAAGAGTTTATTTTCCATATCCAGGCTAAGTCCTTAGTAGTGCCCGTGGATCCCGAGGCAGCTTCATATGCTGCTTTGATAGAAAAGCAGTTGTGATTTTTGGAATTCCAAGTGTATGTATCCCTAAAGGGGCCATTTTGTTTTATGTAAGTGCAGTTTATTTTAAAGACTATGTCCGGGGGAAGATCAAATGATAGATTCGTGAGGTCAAAACTTCCATTTTTAATGAGATAAGACAGTTTTTTGTTAAGTTCCCCAGCTTGAACGGGGCCTTGGATGGATTCCCTAAGCGTTCCTGATTGATTAATCCAATTGTCTTGCCAAATATTAATATCTTTTCCATCCTCTATTAACCATTTAGTGTTGGCTTTACAAATTTCACTACCCTTCTTGATAACCTTCCATGTGTGGGAGCCCGTATTCGTATTTTTTCTGTGATTGTATTTATTATGAATAATTTTGGCCCATAAGTTTTCTTTCTCTTCTTTGTATCTCCATGCTAAGGCTGTATTGAAAGAGGAGTTTTTCATATGGGTATTAGGTATTCCTAGACCCCCTTGCTTCTTAGGCATTGTGACTATACTCCATTTAACTAGATGGCATTTTTTCTTATTCTCCGTGCTACCCCAGAGGAAGTTACGTTGTATTGCGTCAATCTTATTTAGGATAGTTTTGGGGAGATCATAGATCTGCATGACGTGGTTTGGAATTGCGGCTAGGGTGGCTTTTATGAGGGTTGTCCTACCCGCTATATTAAGGAATTTAGTTTTCCAGCCTGTTAGTCTATTATTGAGTTTATCCAGGATAGACTGGAAGTCTTTTTTTGTGGGGTTAGTGTTAGGCATAGGGAAGCCTAGGTATTTCCCAAAGTTATCAGTGTAATTCATAGAGAAGCAACTGCTGATGTGGCTTTTTTTGCTTATAGGAGTATTCTTGGAGAACACAATTTTTGATTTCTCAAAATTTATTGATTGGCCCGAAGCATTACAGAATTTGGTGATAGTGTCAATGATAGAGCTGTAGGTTTTTTGGTTGGCTTCAGCTAGGAGAATGAGATCATCCGCGAAGAAGAGATGTGAGAGTTCCGGGCCTTTTGGGCTAATTTTTATTGGGGTCCATCGGCAGCAGTCAATCTCGTGGTCAATTAACCTGGAAAACATCTCCATGCATATGATAAAGATGTATGGTGATAGGGGGTCCCCTTGTCTGATTCCCCTAGATGGTTCAAAGAACTCCGTTCTAGATCCGTTAATCAGGATAGCAGTTGAGGTAGTAGAGATACAGGACATAATGAGTTTTATAAGGTCTGGAGGGAAGTTAAGGGAGGCTAGAGAAAATCTGACGAAGGACCATTCTATTTTGTCGAATGCTTTTTCCAAATCTATTTTAATCATCATTTTTGGTTTTTTCCCTTTGGAGTTCTTGAAATGATGAAGAACTTCATTGATGATTAGAGCATTATCCGCAGCCCTTCTTCCTTTTATGAAGCTAGTTTGGGTAGGGTGGATAAGGGTGGGCAGTAGTGTTTTGATGCGGTTTATGATAATCTTAGTGACAACTTTGTAAGCAGTGTTACAAAGGCTTATGGGTCTGTATTGCCTAATGGTTTCTGCATTTTCGCTTTTAGGGATTAGGCATACTAGTGTATTATTCATACTTTTAAGCATTCTTTTCTCTGAGAAGGAATCCTGGCAGAATTTTATGAGAAGATTGCTGGTTTCTTTCCAAAACTTTTGGTACAGAATCGGATGGAGTCCATCCGGCCCTGGCGATTTATAAGGTTTGAAGGAATCTAGTGCCCTCCTAATTTCTTCTATAGAGGGGATACTACTAAGGGAGATATGGTCCTGGTCCTTAATAGTAGAGCTGTAGGAGAGGTGATTGTTTTTGAGCAAGGATTGGTTGTGGTTTGTGGTGTAGAGCTTTTTATAGAATTCAATAATATGTTCCTTGATGGGTTTTTGTTCTTGAATCCAATTTCCAGCTTCGTCTCTTAAACAAATAATCCTGTTTTTCCTTCTTCTTTGCATTGTGGTGATGTGGAAAAATTTTGTGTTTGCATCCCCATCCTGGATCCATTGGATCCTGGATTTGAGTTTCCAGAATTCCTCCTCTTGTCTGAGTACGCTATAGTACTCATGCAGGAGATCGTTTTCTAGGTTTATTAGGAATTGGCTATGGGGATAGTTTGGAGAATTCTGAATTCCATTTAGTCTAGCTAATAGGGTACTTTTTTTTTAAAAAAATATTGCCGAAAGTAGTTTTGTTCCATTCTATAGCATTCAGACTAAATTTCTCTATAGCTATTGAGGTATTCGGTTGGTTCGACCAAGAGTTATCCACTAGAGCCCTAAACGTGGGGTGAGATAGCCACATAGTTTCTAATCTAAATATATTATTATTAGTAGGGAACCTTTTGGAAAATTCTAACATGATAGGGCAATGGTCAGAATGGCTTCTAGTTAAATGCTTGATATTTGCGTCTTGAAATAGCTCTAGCCATTCAGTATTAGTCCAAGTGAATCTTTGCCCTTTAAAACCTAGGTCTACTAGACCACAATTGTTCATACAATCTAAAATTTTGGATATTCTACTGTAATTAATAGGCGGTCCTCCAAATTTTTCCGATGCACAGGTGACTTCATTAAAGTCTCCCGCAACTAGCCAAGGACCCTTAAAATTTTTTGCTACTATTTTTAAATTTTTCCACAGTATTAATCTTTCTTCCATAAGGTTACTAGCATATATAATAGAGCATAACCATTTTTTTGTTGAGTTTCGTACCTTTACCATGGCGTGTATCTCTTGGTCCGTTCCTCCAATTTGATCCACCATTGTATCTCCATTGTTCCACATGAGTACAATACCTCCTGAATTTCCATTGGCCGGCATTTGAATTGAGCTGGTGTAGCCGAAATCCTGGACCAGAGTATGGTGATCCTTCATTTTTGTTTCTAGCAGCGCGACCAAACTAGGACGATGATAATCAAGCATAGCTCTAAAAGCTCTCCTAAATTCTGCTCCATTTGCTCCACGACAGTTCCAAATAATCATATTCATGTTAATGTTTCTAGTTGATACACCCCTTCCCTGGCTGCCCGAGGAGTTATCTTCGTTCCTCATCATTTCCTGTTGCGTCCAATAATGGGAGAACATTGTTGGTACTAACACCACCGCATGTTGGTAGATGCTCGGTGGGTTCACCTTTCTTATGGAAATTGAGCATTTCCTCAAATCCACTGGGCAACTTAAGATGAATCTTTTTTCTCTTCTTGCTTGGAATGCCATTGTTTTTGGGTATCTTAACACTCCGTGCTCCACTATTCTTTCCGTTGGCATTTCTTCCTCTTCTCCCTCCTCTTCCATCACGTTCGAAATCTGGTTTTGTGGGGTTGGAGATGGTGTTTGAGTTTGGTTCGATGTTTGAAGGGTGGAGCGGGGTGATGTCCTGGGCAGTGGGGTTGAGGGTGTGTTGTTGTTGGGCTGTGATAGTGGCTGTGTTTGGGCAGCAACCATGTAGGGGAATGAGGTTTGAGGGTTTGCATGGGGAGGGTAAATGGGTAGGTTTGGGTGGTGCATGGGTGTGTGGTGTTGGTGTACTGCATGGGAGCTCCAAGGTGAGGGGTGGGGGCCCATATTCATGAGCATGGGCTGTTGGAGACTCAACCATGGTCTCATCATCACATTGTTCATGCCAATTTGCATTCCTTCCGTCACAATTTGAGCCAAGTATGAGGGATCCCCTATTTGTATTATGAGATCCCTCCCTTCTAGCTGGAGATTTATGTTTAGTGCATGACCCATGAGGCCCCATTCCAACCATGATTGGGGGGTATGGTTTGGTTAAATTGGCCTTGTGGTGAAGATGAGTGGTGTTTGGGGTTGTGGAGGGGTTTGTGGTCTTGTCCATACATTCCTCCTTGGCCTTTGGTGTCTCCTGTTTTGGTTGAGGGGAAGTCTTGGTATTGTTCAGGTTGTTCTTGCTAAGATTGTGGGATGTTTTTGCTTTGAGTTCCTCAGTGAAGCAATCCGTTTGGTATTGGTCTAATAAGGGAGTGTGAGGTACATTTTGTGGTACTAGAGACTTGTCCTTCCTAGGGTTTAGGGTGTCTTGTACATTAATGATGGTTTGACTTGAGTTTGACAAGGGTTGAGTTTGATTAGTACTAGGGATTTGTTGTGTGAGATTGGTATCTTTCATGGGCAGAATGGGGGCTAAGGATTGTGTGCTACCTAAGTTATGCATTAATGAGGGTGTTGAGCTTTTTGTAGGTCTCTTTAGGTCTAAGTACATGGCTTGGGATGCGGAGTGATGTGCCGTCGGTCCAGAGTAGGCGTCGTAAGGGGTAGGAGGTAGGAGTTGAAGTGATAGTGGGAGTTATTGCCTAAGGGATTTTGTGAGTTATGAGGGGAACTTGTGTCTTCTATGTTGTTTGTGACAATATCCTTAGGGTAAAGACAAGAGAATGAGTTTTTGGTGAGGTTTGGATTGGTAAGGTTACCAGGTACTATACTCATCACTTTTTGTTGTTGGGTAATAGGAGTTATAGTACCGTTACCTCCCTTCTTGCTATTGTCCAGCGGCTTTTTACTCTCTTCGTCCACACTTTGTGGCTTTTCTTCTACTTTGGTTTCAGCTTTTTGCCATTTTTGAGTATTGGTTATAATTTTCTTTTGGTTAGTCATTGTCTTATGGGTATCAAGGTCATTCCTGGTAGGGTTTTTATCTTGTTTTTTGTTTTTCTTTTGGTGTGATACTATAGCCCATTGGTCTATTTTTTGGGTAAGTGTATCCACCATGTGAGGTTTAGCCATGGAAGTGGACGAGCTAGCTTGTTCCTCTGCTGGTTTTTGTGCTTGGTGAGGGCAGTTACTCACACTGTGACCAAGTCTGCCACAATTCGTGCATAGTAGATTAAAACCTTCGTAACAAATTTGTTGTATATGTTTCCCAATCACAATGAAGGTTTTAAGGGGTTGTTCTATGGGTACCATGACACAAAGTCGAGCATACTTACCCCTTAAGGCGGATTTGGTGCTTGCGTCGATACGTATTAGTTGTCCCAACTTCTGACCAATTTTTTGAAGGATCTCATAGTCGTAAAATTCCGTAGGTAGCTCCGGAAGCCTTGCCCATATAGCTGAGTAGGTTAAGGCTGCTTTTGATGCTACGAATCTGGGTTCCCATTTTCTAACCGTGAGAAATTGGTTCCCTATGAACCATGGCCCTTCATGAAGGGCTTTGTTATAGCTTTCCTCTTTGGTAAACTTTATTAAATAGTAGTCACAACCTAAATCTATTAGAGAAAGGTTTTCTGTTGGCTTCCATATTGCATGGACTTTTTTCTGGAGAAATTGATAGCCTATTCTCCTCCCAAAGATTTTAACGATGAGGGCACTCGACCAATTTTTATATATACGTTTCTTATCCGATGAGGTAATGGGAATGAACAGTTCCGAGTTAGGGTAGTTGTTTGTTTCATCCTCATGTATATCGGAGACCATATTGGTTTGGACTGTGACTTGGCTTCCTTCGGGTTCTTTATTTGCTTCATTGCCCGTTACCAGTGTGTCTATGAAGGACATCTTCTTCGTTGGAATGTTGTGTTATCAGATTTTGTTTCAGTTTTGTTAGTGCAGGCTTCATTGCATATTTCCATATCCATGGTAGTAGTTTCTAGGTTGGTCGAAACTATATTTGTTCTCAAGGTTATACTCTCGTTTGAGGCAGGTGGAGTTGAGTTTTCCTTAGCTAGGATTATTTGGGGTGTGATTTGTTGGTCCAGAGAGTTTTCTTCATTAGTGTTTTCCATAGTTTGGAGAGGTTTGCAGGTATTGTATGTGCTAGGTTTAGAATAGGAGGAAGGAGTAGGAGAGGAAACCCTACTTAGAGAGAAGGAGGAGACATTCTCTCTAACCCATCTTCACGTAATTTTACATGTGACTTGCTACTTAAGATCCCTAAATACCTACTGGCTTGCTATTCTAGATATTGAAACTAATTTAGTTTCAATATGAGTAGTAGAATAGGTTTGAAAGTTGGGACTTTGTGTATAATTACTTGGTCACTTGTTGCCATTTTCATAATCCCAAGGCCTAAAAAACACTTAATGCTTTGTTAGCTTCAAACTTAGTATATAAAATATACTTTTCATATATAAATTTATTCGGTATTTTTTCGATTTATTTTTACAAAATTAAAAACTTACCTTATGATTCGGTACGGGTATAAATTTATATAAAAACCTACGATTTTGTTAAAAGAACCCTAAAAATTAGTTTGATACGGTACGGTATGGTTCGGTCCGTTACTTGATTTTTAAAGATCCATTGACACCCCTATATAATGATAATCAAACCAATAAACTGAGTTCCAGACTAAAATATTCTTATATATTTTTTAGTACAAATATAGGGTCTAGACAAAAGTTATTGGATTCACGTCATGAACCTATAACCTTTTCACTAACTCCGCCCTTATCCGGATATATATTAAATCCACACTCGAATTATATCCTTAAAAATAAAAAAATAATAAAAGAAGAAATAGGATTTCATATATTAATATATATATTTTCTTCTTGTCGTTCTGAGATTTCAACCTCAATGTATTCTTTTTATTTCAAGTTTCAGCTTGCCTTTTCTTTTCTTTTTCTTTTTCTTTTCGCCTTAGATATGTCGAACGAGTAAATTTGCTTAATACTCTATTAGTTAAGAGAGTTTGGTCACGAGAATTGTGTCAATGTTTTTTAGTATATTGAACTGTCCTGCACATTTTGCTAAAGATGAAAGTGGAAAAAGAAAAATAATGTTTAAAAAAAATGATGGAAATGCCGGAATAGCTATTAGGAACTGTGGGCATAAGAATTGCTGAATTATTTATTTAATTGTTTTGGAATCATTCAAAACCAATTTAAAAAACTAGAATTGCAAGAGTTATGTACTTTATTTTCATTTATATTGTTAAAAGAACATAGAAAATTGATCGACGGCTACGCTTAACAGATTCGATTAATTAAATGCATTCAATTGACGATATAATTGCGTAAGTATATTGGATTCACTAAAACCACATACTTAATTGTTAATTATAGTATCAATTTCCCCCAATTATAATAATTTCACAATTAGTGGGATTTGACAGCTTTCACTTAAGAAATTGTGAACACACCGCCCTTCAGTATTCAAAGTTTCTAATTCTATATCCATTTGTATAGTGTCATTTAACATCCTTAATTATCGCTAAATCCATTTATAATATTCTTGTAAACTTCTTTTATGATTGAGATAGTACAAGTAACACCTTAAAGGGGAAAAACTAAAATATATAGTCAAAATTTCAAAACTAATAAAAAGTAAAATCTAATAAAACAAAATGGGACGAAGAAGTTCAAAAGAAAGATACAATAAAGGAAGGAATGGAGACATAGATTTCACTTCTTATAACATTGTATTAAATTGTTTCTTTTATTCTTGAAAGGAAATTTATAATATTTCAATTTTTTTACCTCCATATATTTAATGCTAATTAAGAAACTCCCTCCGATTAAGGAGAATTTTTTGTTCACAAATATAATCGATCTCTCCTAAGATAGTTTTAATGCAATGATAATTTTGGCCTATTTTTGAACCTTTCAGAAAATTCCAACTACAACTCCTTTTGCTCATTGACTTTTAGGTTAAGTGGACTATATATTTCATTAAACAAGTCTAACATTTCATTAAGTAGTTAACTTGAGTTGTCCAAAGTAGCAGCATTGTAAAGAAAAAGAAATGCTGCCAAAATATTTACTTTAAAAATAATGCTTATTTTAAATAAAAAAAAGACGCAAGTTAGTGCACAAAATATTATGCATTCACCTAAGGTCCCGGGAAGGATCGTACTCCAAGGGGTGTGATGTAGACAGCATACCTTAATGCAAGCATTAGTAGATGCTTCCAGTGGCGACGCCAGGAAATTCAATATGAGTGTTTAAATTTTGAACACCCTTTGCCAGTGGGCTATGCAAGGGTATTCAAAGTCTATTTTTAATCAATAACAAGTAATAATTTACCTTATACGTAGTATAATTTTTCGGCGAAGGGTCGTCAGTTGACCACCCTTGGGCTAACATAGTTTCACCCCTGCATGCTTCTACGGCTCGAACCCGTAGAATAATGCTAATTGTTTGGAATCAATTCGCTTTTTCTTTAAAAAAATGATAAACCAAAATGTGAAATTAATTAATTACAGAAAATGCATAATTAATATCGAACCGGCTGTAATATAATAAGTAAACAAAAATAGATAAAACCAAAAAAGAAGTAAAAAGATGTGAATGGAGAATATATATCATTTCCCATTTCATGCACCTATTTTTCCCCCAAAAATTAATAATTGTCCAAATTAGTAGCATTGTAAACAAACCGTTAAATCCCATGTTTCTTCCCCCACTTTCCTCCTTCTTTCACTTTCACACACACACACACAGTATAATAATTCATTTCACACTCATATTCCCTCCTTATAAATAAACTTCAACACTCTCTCTACAACTCAAATTTTCTTCATTTAAAATCTTTAGTACAAAAAAATGGCTTCTTCTTTCTCTCTAATTCCCTTTCTTGCTTTATTTCTTGTTTCTTTCTCTCATATTGCTCTTTCATTATCATCAAAATCTTTCTTGCCTTTTCATAAGCCTATAATAAGCCAGAAAAAATTCCCAGTAACAATGGCTGAAAAATTCATTAGACAACTTAACTTGTTTCCTAAACATGATATTAATATTATTTCTTCAAAGGATAATATTGCACTAGCCAATGATGAGAGATTATTTGAAAAGAAATTGAATTTACCTTATCTTGGTGATTCTGGTGCAACTGTCCAAGATTTAGGTCATCATGCTGGTTATTTTCGTCTTCTACATACTAAAGCTGCAAGGTATTGATTTTATATTATGATTATATTTTAATGTCATTATTGAGTTTTTTTTAAGGAAAACCTAGAGTAACGGTAAAATTGTTTTCGTATGACCTATAAGTAATGGGTTCGAGAAGTGAAAGCAATCACTAATGCTTGCATTAGGGTAGGCTGTTTACATTATACCCCTAGGGTTGCGGTCCTTCTCCGGACCCTGGGGATGCTTTGTCACCGGGCTTGTCTTTTATTGTTGAGTTTCTTTTTGTTTTATTATTTTATTAATGCAAATGTTTTGTTTTGTTGTAGGATGTTCTATTTTTTCTTTGAATCGAGGAGCAACAAGAATGATCCAGTAGTGATATGGTTAACAGGAGGGCCAGGATGTAGCAGTGAATTGGCTTTGTTTTATGAAAATGGACCTTTTAAATTATCTGACAACATGTCTCTTGTCTGGAATGATTTTGGCTGGGACAAGGTTCTTGTTTTTTTCCTTTTTTATTCTTTTAATATTTTGTGTATTTCGTTACTTAATATAAACCAATTCATTTCAAGAAAAGTTGGGTTACATATTTTGCATACGATAAAGAGAAAATGGTATTAATAAAGTTGTTATATTAAACTTTTTTCAATCATGCAAAGTCTCTTTTTACCAACTAACTAATCTTCTTTGACGTTTTGCTGCTCATTAGTTGTGACTTTTAGTAGAATTTTTTTTTTTTGAATTCAAAAGTAGTTTAACGCTTATTGACTTGTTAAGTAGTAGTTAAGAATAAAAATAATACTCACGTTAATTAATGTGAATCAACAGGTCTCAAACCTTATATACGTTGATCAACCAACGGGAACTGGTTTTAGTTATAGTACTGTTGATAGTGACATTCGTAACAGCGAGACGGGTGTGAGCAATGACCTTTATGACTTCTTACAGGTTTGCTCCAAATTTCTATTTTTTTTACTCTCGAATCCATATTTTGATTAATACTAATTTGAAATATACGATGTATTTGAGAATAGGAATTCTTCAAGGCGCATCCTGATTATGTAAATAATGATTTCTACATTACTGGAGAATCATATGCTGGACATTATATTCCTGCATTTGCTTCTCGTGTTAACCAAGGAAACAAAAATAAAGAAGGAATTAACATAAACCTCAAGGTACCTTTTTTCTTCAATAGTCCTATCATTTTAAAGTATTTTCAACTTGCTTTGGTTGGACTTATTTATATGCCTATTTTGATCAGGGATTTGCCATTGGTAATGGACTCACCAACCCAGAAATCCAGTACAAAGCCTACACTGACTATGCATTGGACATGAAATTGATCAATCAAACTGATTACGACGCCATAAATCAATTATATCCACAATGTCAACAAGAAATTAGGCTTTGCGGTAACTCCTTATCCCACTTAGTTCATCCACCCATTTTATGTTGAACTGTCAGTGTATCGAAGTTAAATTCACAAAAGTAAAAGAAAGATACTGTCGTTCAATGCAATAGAAAATATTCTTTACATGTTTGGTGAATATATTGGTAGGAAGTGGTAGTGATGATGCTTGCTTGGACGCATTTGGTCGTTGCACAAACATCTTCAGTAGTATAATGGACGTTGTGGGCGATAAAAATGTAAGAATGCAGAACTTCTTTTACTCAGTTTTCTGTTTTCAATGAGACAATGGTGTCATATAACTACAAGCACATTTCATTTCTAACCATGAAATGGATATCTGATCTTTTACCTGCAGTACTATGATATCCGCAAGAAATGTGAGGGGAACCTCTGCTATGACTTCTCGGGAATGGAAACTTACCTCAACGATGACCAAGTTAAGCAAGCCCTTGGTGTTCCCAACAGCATTGACTTTGTTTCATGTAGTTCTACAGTTTATCAGGCGATGGAGACGGACTGGATGAAGAATCTTGAAGAAGGTATTCCTTCACTTCTTGAGGATGGTATCAATCTACTCATTTATGCTGGAGAGTATGACCTTATCTGCAACTGGCTTGGTAAGCTTCATTCACCTGTGACAGAAATAGAATTCATATAATAATCTAAAAGGAGTTAACGACTAAACTATTGTATCTTGACATGGACAGGGAACTCAAATTGGGTGCATGCAGTGGAATGGTCTGGGCAGAATGACTTTGTGGCTGCACCATCTGTTTCTTTCACAGTAGATGGTGAGGAGAAAGGAATTCAAAAGAGCTATGGACCTCTGACTTTCCTCAAGGTCCATGATGCAGGCCATATGGTGCCAATGGATCAACCTAAGGCAGCACTGGAAATGCTCCAGAGGTGGACCACTCAAGGCAAATTGTCCTAAGAAAATCATCTTGCTCACATGTGAAGCATCAATTTGAGAACCACACTTAACTGAAACAGATTTAACATTTTTCCAGCTTTATAATTCCATCAAAACATAGAAAATCATGTAGATACATTTCACCTTTTCAGGTTACCCTGAAATCTGTCAATGAAATGTTTTTATCTTTGAGGTGAATATATTCTTCTAAGATTGGATTAAGCATTATAACATATAGTGAAGCACACTGTTTGCTCTTGAGATTTGTTATCCCCCCTACCTTGGATTATGCATCGCGCAGTGTCAAAATAACTAAATCATGTAAAACCTTTTGCATCTAAGATCTGCCAAGCATTTGGATATAGGTTTTAGCCTTTTTCATAAAAGGCTAATTGGGGGCACGGTATCTAAACAATTTTCTTGGAGTAAGAAAAGGGCATACACAGGCAAATTCAACAAGAACTGACAAAAAAATATCTCAGCAATTCTGATTCATTATCAATCTTCAATATTCTTTTGCAATTTCCTCATGTGGAAGGCGGTTAAACAGAATACAAACAACAACAACAACCCAGTATAATCCCACAAGTGGGGTCTGGGGAGTGTAGTGTGTACGCAGACCTTATCTCTACCCTGCGGGGTAGAGAGCCTGTTTCCTATAGACAAGTTAAACAGAATACCTAGACCAATATAACTAGTCTATTTTCTAGCTTAACCAAGATCAAGAACTGATTGTTTCAGTATTTCCTTTGCCCTAACAATTATATGATTTTTAACCAACGTTTTCCCCCCAAACCTCAGCATGTAAGAACACTTAAACCCTGAAATATTGCTCAACACTTATAAAAGTATCATCCTTTTTTCCCTCTTGTTTGTGAAGCTCAAGCAGTACGAGCACAACACATTAATTGTCACAGCTAGATCTATAACTTTATATAGTTTCTATTGATAACCTATATTAACACATAGCTGATCGCAAAAACGAATATACAGCTGATCCAATGCCCTAACCCCTTTGGCTCTGGTACAAGCTGTATTTGACATAACAACTTAAAAGGAAATTCTACAATCAGATATTTGGACTAGTTTAAAAAAAAACTATGTGCTTGTTCCCTGCACCTGCTGTGTTTTTAAATTAAATTACGACCAAGATGAATACATGGCTGATCCAGGGCCCTATCTGTCAGGCTCAGATACAGACGTTTATCGACATTATACCCAACTTAAAGAAAATTCCCTATCTTGAAAGACAATATACTTATCGCCTGCATTTCCTATCGGTTAAACCAGTTTAGTTACATCAAGATTGTTATTTTTTAATCCAGATATCCTCTCTTTGAATAATTGAATAGCACATATAGCAAGGGGCAGTTAGATGGCTCGCTAAACAAATTTTGGGCTGCTCTCAAGATTGACTTCACATTCATTTAAAGCGTATATTTACTGAAGAGACGTGGCCCATGATCTGCCAAGCTCAAACATGTGGTTAAAGGAGAAAGCTAATGCTTAACAAAAGATGCATTCATCTGTACACAAGCATTAAGACTGCTCAAGAAAAATTTCATACACAAACACCTGAATACAATAGCTACGAACCACCTTGTGCTCGATATAATTCCCTCAAGGTCTCAATCACAGGCTGAAAACCTGTCCGCAATGGCAAAACTGATACCACTCTTAGATGCCGTGCATTCCCATTCTTTGGTTGGGACAAGGTGACTTTCAACATTTCTCCTTCCAAAGCTCTACCTGCAGCTGCAGCTGCAAAAAAACATCCTCCAATCAGTCAGAAGAATTAATTCCTCTTCATAATGGCACAGCAAAACATCCGAAGAATAATTGGAATATAAGATTCTTGGACAGCCTTTTTCAGCCTAATAACAAACTACTTTCTCCGTCCCAGTTTTGACTGGACACAAAATTTAAGATATTAATTTGATTTATGTACTAAATTTAGCAATAATGGAAGAAAATACTAAAGTAATGGTTAAAGTTTAGTTTGACGGAGAAAAATCTCAACAAAAATATGATATTTGAATAGATTAATGAATTCGAAATAAAATCGTGTCAACCCAATTTAGGACATCTCAAAATGAAAAGACTGTTGTATAAATTGGGACTGAGAGAATAAGTTTCATAAGAATTTTCAATTTCTACAGAAATATTCTCATCGTTTCGTTTTTCTTTCTTTAAGAAAAAAGAAAATCAATACTTGGAGTGTAAGTTGGGTGATGTGACTCATGAAGCTGAAGTAGAAGTGAGGCTTGATACACAAGCCATCCCTAAGAGAGGAAGTTTCAAGTATCTTGGGTCAATAATCCAAGGTAATGGGGAGATTGACGAAAATGTCACACATCGTATTGGAGCGGGGTGGATGAATTGGAGGCTCGCATCCAGTGTCTTGTGCGATAAGAATGTGCTACCAAGAATTAGAGGTGAGTTCTATAGAGCGGTTGTTAGGTCGGCCATGTTGTATGGGGCAGAGTGTTGTCCAGTCAAGAACTCGCATGTCCAGAAGTTGAAAGTAGCGGAAATGAGAATGTTGAGATGGATGTGTGGGCATACTTGGAGAGATAAAGATTAGGAGTGAGGATATTCGAGACAAAATGAAGTGGCCCCCGTGGTGAACAAGATGCGGGAAGCGAGGCTGAGATGGTTTGGCCATGTGAGGAGGAGGTGCCCAGATATCCCAGTGAGAAGGTGTGAGAGATTGTCCATGGTGGGTCTAAGAAAAGGTAGAGGTAGGCCAAAGAAGCATTGGAGAGTGATAAGGCAGGACATGTCACATCTTTAGCTTACTGAGGACATGACTCTTCATAGGAGAGTAAGGAGGTCGAGTATTAGAGTAGAAGGTTAGCAGATAGTCGAGCTTTTCCTTTTTCATACCTGTATTATCATCATTATTTGCGGATTTTCATACACTTAGATCTCTATTACTACCGTTTGTCTCTTTTGCTTCGGTTATCTTGTTACCATGTTGTTGTTACTGCTTCTTGTTATTGCTTCTTTTCTCCTGGCTTCCCTGTTACTGAACTTCTTTTCAACCATGTTGTGACTAAACTTTTCCTGAGCCTATTGAAAACAACCCCTCTACCTACACAAGGTCCGGATAAGGCCTGCGTACACACTACCCATCCAAGAACCCATTTGTGGGGTTACACTGGATTTGATATTGTTTTTGTAAAATCAATATAATTACAAAAGCAAAAGGGAAGAAAAATATAACTCTTAACATGATGATAGAAGTCAACGAAAAAATGTTTTTCATTTACTACTCCCTCTGTCCCTATTTATGTGGCACACTTCCTTCTTAGGGTTGTCCCAAAAAGAATGACATCTTTTCACATTCAAAAATATTTAACTTTAAACTTCTCAGTTCCCCTTAATTAGATGATTTATAACAATAGAAATGCCCATTACTTATTTTAGACCACAAGTTTCAGAAGTGTTTCTTTATTTCTCAAAATTCGTCCCCCATCAAAGAAGTCACATACAATGGGACGGAGGGAATACTACTTATCTCAAGCATAAATGAAAATGTCATTTTAAACTGCAAGATGTAATGCAACTGTAAAAAGCTGGAGAAATGGGAAATAACAAAAAAATTGGAAATTAATTCAAGTTACCAGCAAAAGGATGAGTCTTGGCAAAATCAAAGAATTCATCAGCAGAACAACCAAACAAAACCCTAGCCGCTCTATCAAACATTATCACCACAACCACCTTTTTGTCTGTAGCAATAGACATCTGCAAAAACAAACTCAAAATTTCAACCAAAATAAACCCCCCTAAAATTCATTCCACATGCTTCAGGCATATTCAGAAGCGTTTAAGTTCTATGCAATAACATTGTTAAACAATCAGGTCACTTATAAGGTGATAAACATTAACTGATTACCTAGTAAAATTGACAAGTAACCTGTTAACAACATTATACACTGGTAACAGCACATATACTCAATCAGGTTACATATAAGGTAAACAAATCAGAGATAAACAATTTTTTTAGAAAAAAGAACAAGGATGAAACTGCACAGAAGGACACAAAAAAAAAAAAAGGAAAGAAATTACATACAAGGACACGAAAGAGGCGTTTGGAACCGGAAGGAGCAGGGTTGAAGAAGCCATTATTGTTAAAGTTGCAGTATTTGCAAAAGGGAACTGAAGAATTGGGAGAAGGGTCAGGGAGAGTTTTTTCACAAACTGAGCAGACTGTGTAGTAAAGGTTGTTGTGATCAATGGCTACAACCATGCAATTTATTGTTGCTGGTTTGTCTATTTCTGCAAATGGTCTTTTTGTGGAATTTGTTTGGTTATTGGAGGTTTCAGGATTCATTGCTGTCGAGGAGTTTTCTTGTTCAGAATTTTGTTTGATCGAATCGGTAGTGGAAGGTGAAAGATAGCTGTTGTGATAAAATAGTTGAATCCAGGATGGTGTGTGAGGGAATTTTCTGATATAAATTGCGATTTATGAGTCGCATTTTCTTTTGCGAATTATGAATGCCATGTAAGACATTGCAACTATAAATTTGATTTATTATTTGTAAATTTATAAGCGCACTTCTCACTTTATCAATATTTTAAAAATGTGATTTTTGCATAGTTTTGAAGTTATGACCAAACACATTAATAAAATTTTAAAGGCAAAAATTTCATATTTTGGAAGAAAAAAAAAACTCATGTGTTGTGTAAGGATGAAAAGAAATTTTGTATTTCGCAGATAAAAATTCATTATTGATCCCGTTATAATTTGGTATCTACTAGTTTATACAATTTGTATTTATTTTATTTTCTATACATATATATTCTACTCTTATAAATTATGCAAAAATTAAGTATCTTTTAGTAGACTGTATTTGTAAAATAATTCTGGAAATATAAATGAATATAAACAGAAATGAACATAAACAGAAATGACATAAAACCAATTCGAGCCCACTGAACTCACAGTGTTTCCTTAAGGAATTTAATCCCCTCCTAGTACCCAAGGTTATGGATTATTTCCTCCCAGGATAGAACGAATTACACACTGGTGTAGTGGTACTTCAAACCCCAGTGTTTCAGCGAACACAAAGTTCGGTAGCAAATCACACTTACTTTTTACTTTGTTTGATGCTAAAAGTATCTAGAAGAAGGAGAATAGTGTTTTATTTATAGCCAAAGTTAGGCTGAAATCTGAAGAGGTGCAACTCTTCAGAATGGTTGTTTATGCAAAATGCCCACAGCATAAATGTCATTACATAAATGGTCATTTACTCAACAATAAAGAGGGAAAATAAAGAGGGAAAATTGAAGAGGGTAGTTACTTTTCTGTTACCAAAACAGAAAAACGGATTGGATAAATTTGGTCCAAAAAGTTAATCAATCAATCGTTTGACCGAATCCGAATCCGAAGCCGAGCCGAGCGAGCGACGACGACGGCATGAGGCTTGCCTTCTTCTCAACTCTTTAAGAGCTAGAAGAAGAGCAATTGCTTATATACCCATAAAAAACCTCTTCCTCTTCCAATATGGGACAATGCCCATTTGCCAAGGGGAACTTAAAATTTCACTCAAAAATTTCATTTCCATCCATTTCTCATTCACCCTCTTTTAAGTATTTAATATATTAATTAAATACATCCAAAACCCAACAGTATCTCTACAATACAAAAGACTTTATAAAAAAAATGGAGAAAATATAAAACTAAGTATTACTCCTAATAGTTAATGTTAAAACTTGAAATCTTAAAGACTAAATAGAACTGCTAAAATAACTTTAATATTTAAATATAAATAAAAGTATTTCATAAATTTATTTTGCGCTTCATAATTCTATTGTAAACGCACTATTTTGATCATGAGGTTTTGTTAAAATTGTATAAAATTACTTCTATAACAAGGGAGATAGTTTAGAATTTGAACTACAAGAGAGTGTTCTTGAATCTGACGGTCTCCCCTGGGGTGTTCAAACCGAATCGGAAAAGCGCACCAAACCGAAAAGTCAAATCAAATCGATAAAAAAAATCCGACTAGGTTAGGTTTGATTTGGTTTGATATTGTGTAAAAAAATCGAACCAAACCGCAAATAAATATATAATTTTTATATTTTTTTTTAAGACTTTATATTGAATTTTCTTCAAAAAAATATGTAGAAATATTTGAGACCATCTCATGGAATGTAATTTTTTGATAAAACTATGAAGTGCATTCATTTTTATTTACTATAAATAATAGATTGTATCGCTTTCTTATCAAGTGTTACTGAAATGCGTCACTCATCTCTTTATTATTCCATATCCATATGTAGGGTTGTAATGTGTGCCGGGGCCGGTCCTAAATGGGCTTCGTGGGCCGGTCCTAAGTGGTTCTGGGCTTCGTGGGCTTTTTGTAAGAACCAGTCCGGGACCGGAACCACGAGCTAATGGTCCCGGGCTAAGTGGGCCGGTCCCAAGGCTATGTGGGCCTAAGTGGGCCCAACGGTTACTTTCTATTATTTTTTTTTTAAAAAAAAATTTATCTAAGGTAATTCCTTGTAAAAATTATATTATAGAATTGTGAATTCAAATTTAAACACAAAAAATTATTGTAAAGAGATATTCAAAGCAATGCGTTATAATTTTATTATAGCGATAACAAAACATGGCAATATCTTTCTTAGGCCTAATTTGTTTGCACTTAATGGAGGTCTGAATCTTAATCATTTAGATCTCAGACATTAAGTGCGTTTGTTTTTAAAGTCTGAATCTTGATTATTCAGATCTTAATCATTAAGTGTGTTTGTTTTTTTTACTTTACAACCACTTAATGGGTCTGAATAGGTCTGTATGATTAAGATCTATAACAGAGACTTAATTTCATTAAGATGCTATCACATATTCATTATTAACTGCTGTCACCGTCTATCATTATTAACTACCACCATGCCGCCACCAGCACCATACACAACCACCACCACCACGCCGCCACCATTATCGACCGTCACCATCCATTATCCCCACCACTCCGACCACCATCATTCTCCCCCACAATCAATACTCATCCACCTCAACTACCACAACTGACCACCCCATCACCATCAACAACCACAACCGACACTGCCCATCATTATAACCTTCCACCACCAACCCACCACCTTCCTCAGTCACAACTATTACCACCACCCGCCATTATTAACTATCATCAACCACCACCACCACCACCATCCTCAATCATAATCGTCACCACTACCAATCACTACTAGCTACTAGCATGAACCATCATCATCAACCAAAACTACCACCAACCACCGCCTTTAGTCAGCATTCACCCGTTAGCCATCACCACCAACAACTATCATATTTTAAAAAACTATATATTTTATTGATAGAATATTAGATTAGTTGTTTCATTTGAATTTTAAGTTTATTAATTTCAAATAAAGATAAATTTTATACATTCAGATGTTAAAAATCAAACAGTCTTAATTATTTCTATTCAGATCTTAATACACATCTTAATCTATTCAGATGTGTATTCAGATTCAGATGTCTTAATCTTAATACATATCTTGATATTCAGATGTATATTCAGATTCAAACGTCTTAATCTTAAAAAAAACAAATGAGGCCTTAGTCTTCCTCCCCCCATGGAATGAGCACAACAATGTGCTAATACCACCACTGTGAAGAAAAAGAAACTAATCAAGATGTGCCAAAATACAAGTAACATATTAATTTACATGGTATCTCTTACAAATTTCATAAATCCTTCAAGGTTCGGAGGAATTTTCGTTGGTGGTGGCGGAAAAGAAGCTTGTTCATCATTGCTTACGGGCGAAGCTGCATCCTCCGCAAGTTCAGCTAGCATTTCTTCGTAAGCTTTGTCTACTTCTGGTTGTGATTCAGCAAGTCCAAAATTTCTTCGTTCCGAACGGATCCAATCTCTAAAAAGTACTGATTTTTCCAAGCTCTCCCTCATAGACGCTCTATAATCACCAAGTTGAAGTCTTGCTTGACTGAAAACGCTCTCAGATACCACTGTTGAAGCTTGAATGGTTAAAATGTCTCGGGCCATCCTTGAGAGAATCGGAAAGTATTTTTCTTTGTCCTTCCACCATTCCAAAATATTAAAGGAGCCGTCCGGATTCACTTCCTCAATTCCCTGTGACAAATAAACTTCAAGCTCATTTAGTTGTGAACAATCACTAGTACTAGAACCTTGAGAACCCCTGAACCCAGCCCAAGCAGTAAGTGCTCTTACTCCCGCAGTTCTTTTAGATGATTGAGAACTAGAAGAAGAAGGAGTTGCAACATTTGGTCTAGCATGATCTATTGCAATTTGATAAGCACTATAAATAGTTTGAGCATTTATTTTAATTGAGGCTTGTGCTTCCGGAAGTGTAGACAACTCCTCATCTTCAAGTGCTAAACCATTATAAACAGTTACATACCAAAATTGAGGACCTCCTAATTTCATAGTCAGATTTAACAAGGCAGCAACACCATAAATAAGGAGAATAGGGAAAAAATATTATTTAAATTTTTTTCTCATAGAATCAATAGCTTGTTCATAAATTCTCCCACCCTCTGAAAAATAAGCAAACAAATTTGCAAGTTCTGCAATATAAACTAAACAGTTAGAAATTGTAGGATAATATTGCTTAGAAAATTCATTTGTAGCAATATGAAATTTTTCTAAAAAATCTACAAGCATTTTAACATTAGCCCAATCCGCATTTGTAAGGTGCCCATCGTCATCACTAACATGAGCATTAAACGTTGAGTTTATGGGGTTTCTATATTCATATGCAACAACTAAATTTTCATATATGTAATTCCATCTAGTTGGACAAGGATTAGGAACATTTCTTTCTCTTGGGCCAAATTCATCGCATCTTTTAAAATATTCTCTAAGTCTACTTCTATGGTTTGAATAAAAAAGCCAGTGAAGAGCCATTTTAACCTTTTTAATTTCAACATTTAAAATTCTCTACCATCACCCACAATTAAATGGTAAATATGACAAATATATCTAACATGAAAAATATTACTAAATGCAGGATTTAGTGTAGTGGTAAGCAAGGCTACAGCATTAGTGTTACTAGTAGCATTATCCATTGAAATTGACATTATTTTATCACTATATCTACAAATATCCGTAACTGTGCTAGCAATAAATTGCCTCGTGTGACGTGAATTAATTATTCTATAAGAAATAATGCGTTTTTGCATTATCCATTCCTCATCAATCCAATGACTGGTAACAGTAATGTAATCACAGTCACTACCACTTCTACCAATATCAGTAGTAATAGCAACACAACAATTTATATGAGTAAATAGATAGCGCAAATATTATTCATATTCATGTTTATATTTATAAATATCGCTCTTTACGGTTGTGCGAGGCCATCCTTTATAAGTTGGATTAAAAACTTTTCTAATATAATGCACAAAGTGAGGGTTAGAAAGAAAACTGTAGGGTAAGCACATAACAGTAACCATTTTTGCCAATTCTTCTCGATCTTTTCTTGGATCATAATATAAAATACCACCAGTAACAGTTTTAATTTCCGGTTGAAATTGATTTGACCTGGTACTAAGGTTAGCCTGACTAGGTTCACTTGTCCCCTCGGCCAAAGCTTTCATACGAAGATATTTAACTTTATCTTGAGGGTGTAGCATTATGTGTCTCCTCAAACTTCCCCCCCCCCCCCTCCCCGACCTCCAATATATTTAAAAGCTAACTCTTTGCCACAAGTTTTACACTTAGCCCTATTTTTGTCTCTTAGTTGAGTAGAAAATGGCCAAACAAGAGATGTTTCGCTCCGTTTAGAAGGTTGTCTAGAAAAAGTAGGGGTAGTAACAGGAGGGTAAGACGGGGCATCATTTGGATTATTATTAGTTGGGTTAACTTCAGCAACAGGACTAGGGGGTGTATCGTCATCCGGTTGTGTTTCATCAAAATCTATTTCTTCATCTTCATTTTCATCAATAGTTGGATTACCATAAAGAGCATTCATATATTCATTGTTTAATTGTTCACTACCTCCAACATTATGCAAATATTGACTCTCAGTAAATTATAATAAAATATTATCACTATCAAGAATAGGAGCGGGTGGAGGACGGGTATGGGAATTGGGTAGGGGAGCCCGGGGAATTGGAGGAGGAATAGATTGGCCACTAGATTCACCACTCTTGGTATTTTCCCTTATTTTTACTAAATATTTTTTTTAATGAAAAATCCATATTAATTAATCAAACAATACAAAGTAAATAAAACGAGAAATAAACTTAAATAGTCCTTTAACTATGGGTATAGGAGTAGATTTGTCCCTTATTAATACTAGTGAATATAAAATATCCCTTATCTTTATAAAAGTGGACAACTATGATCTATCCGTTTATAGGGTTAATAACACTAACAGAAAAATGCTTGACTTGCGTTAAAAATAACTGCAACTCTTACCTAACATTGTCCAAGTAATTAATTTTGTTTTACACGTGACTCTGCCTCATCTTCAACATATAGATCTGTCAACCCTTTCTCTGCCAAACTCTGTCATTCCACCTAAAATTCTAGAAATCAAATCCCAACAAAATTCCTAGAAACATAGCCCTAATCAGTGAATAGTGGAATAATTCAATAATCAAAGTTCAACTGAAGGAACTCATTCAAGCCCTAATCAGTGCAATCCATCTAATTGTTCACAATCTGCATGTGTTCTTGCAATATGTTACAGTTAGTGCTCTCGTCCCTTACCCAATATTAGAACAATATAGATCAATAATTTTGAATTTTTCAAGTTCACTCGTGGTATGTAGTGTTGTTTCTTTACAGGTTAGATGATGGCTGACAATAACATTATATATTTTATTTCTGTGTGAAATATGTAGTCGACAACATTTCTTGTCCTTATAAAGGAACCAAAGTATACTACTTAAAGAGGCTGTTTCTTTTCAAAAAAGAAATATAAATAACGAAGAAGCAGTTAGTTTTTGCTCATTTTTTCTTTCTCATTTTGATATTTACATCAGTTTAGTACCCTCATCCATTCTTCTGTGACGAGATATTATTGTTCACTAAATAAAAAATTCAGCACCTTGGACTGCGAAGTGCGAAGAAGAAAGAAGGAAAGGTCCTCTTTTCTTTTGGTCAATCGTTTAGTTTAGTTTAACAGTTGCTTTGATGTTTCCCGTTACTTTTACTAATTCTGTTAAGTAGTAGACCTAAGCTGTCCACTTTTATAAAGATAAGGGATGTTTTATATTCACCAGTATAAATAAAGGATAAAGTTACTCCTATACGTATAGTTAAGGGACTATCTAAGTCTTTCACCCTAAATAAAATAAAATAAAACTATAATATTAAAACTTAAGAGTTGGAACGAGTTTACCGAATTGACGAACAACTTGTTGAAAATTAATTATCGTTGAACATTTGAAGACACGAATACTTCAATTCACCAACTTCACAATTTTTCACACAAATTGAAACAATAAAGTAAGCAATTATAGAAGAAAACTAGAGAGAGATTGATGATTTTGTAGGAAATATGAAAGAATGAGGGGGTATTTATAGTTGAAAATAGGGAAAAAGTATAATTATAAAAAGTTTGGGGTTAAAACAAAGTTGGAGGATTAAATGGCTATTTTATAAATAGCCAACGACTATTTTGGCAGAAATAACGGCTAGATTTTAATGCCCTAACGGGCAGATTTTTTTTTAAAAAAATTTGGAGCCGTTGGGCCCGTTTAGGACCGGTTGAACCGGCCCACTTCCAAGCCGGTCCCGGTCCCAAACTGTCCCAGTCTCGCAGGCTTGAAGCACAAGACCGACCTACTTCCAAGCCCACCACCCATCGGTCCCGGTCCTATCCGGTTAGGACCGTTTAGGCCCATCGCCCATTTGGGCTTGCGGTCCTGGGCCGGACCCGGTCCTAACTGGCCCACATGCCACACTTATCCATATGTCAAGATTTCTCATATCTTTTTCGAATTTTAAATGGTATATCGATAATTTAAAATTAAATAGAATATATCACTACTTAGGTATCATCTTGATTTTTATGTTTAATTATTAAGTTCGGTTAACCTCGAACGCGTACATTAACAAAAATTTATTATTAGACAACTAGAAAAATAACTATCATGTGTTACTAAAATAATTCTCCCATAAGAATAATTTAATAGATCATATGTTCGTCAATATTTTTTAATTTTTACTAAACATATGTTCATTTATCAAAACTTTAACAAAGTAAGAGCGAAAGATATTCATGTACCAAAAAAATCTGAAAAAACCCGACAAAACCGAACCAATCCAAACCGATATAGTTAATTTGGTTTGATTTTTATAAAAATCGAACCAACCCGGTCCATATACACCCTAGTCTCACCCTCTGTTTTAAAAGGCAGAATTGGGATTCGCCCTGGGACGGAGCACTCGTAAAACGCTGCTGGGCTTATGTGTGGGGCTTAGTTCCGTGAGACTTACGCCTCGGCCGTCGGGGCTTACACCCCGGACACGCCCAACGCCCAACGTACTGGGCTCGCCTAATAGATCTTTATAGAATTATGTGTAGTTAACCTTGTATATCCTCAAATTTTTTTAATAAATCGTGACTATTCAAAATTACTTTTTTCTTAATCATAAATCACTAAGTTGAGAGTGTTTTATGTCATAATTAAAATAAAAATTATTGCATGTTATCCATTAAGACTGCTATGATAGTAAATTTTAAATAAATATTTCATTTAAAGGTATTTATTTATTAACTTTTGTTATGTCTTTATTATATCATATTCCATAGTTTTTTTTATAATTATTTTCCTAAATATTATTTTTTTCCACGTTTACGAGATACAATACTTATTAATTTAATAGCTCAGTATTAGCGAGTAACTATTTACAAATAATTAGTTATCATGGTATATTATGGTGATATAGTGTTACTTTATTAACTTGTTGAAACTTTAAAATAAATGATGCTAGAGAATCATGTTTAAATTGTGAATTATATTTTTATATAAATTCTCTTTTAAATAGAAAGCATATTAAACAAAAGGAGTATTAAAAGAATATCGAATTATAATATCGAAATTATTTCAAGATTCATTACTCCTTAAGAGATACATATAAGATTTCGCATCGAATACATTACTTTTGATGTTTGAAATGTAACGACGTTGCAGTTAATTTGCATACTATGATGTATGTCATACTTTTCGTATTATTCATAGTTTAATTATAATTTATAAATACTTTTAAATATATTATTTGTTGTAATTTTATGATTTTAGTATAATTTTTATAATTATTTTTTATTTTATACTATCTTTAAATTCTTGATATTAGTAAAATTTAAAGATTCGTGGGACTTACGCCCCATGTCTCAAGTCTTAGGCCTCGCCTCGTCAAAAGTAGAATGTGTCGCCCGCCGCCTTTTAAAACATTGGTCTCACGTACAAAAGTCTCTACAAGTTTTTTCTTATTTTACCATCTTAAAAATTACTTACTCCATTGAAAATTTTACAGGAAAAAAGGAAGTAAAAGGTACAACCACAGCAAACGCAAAGTACAACTGAGATAGTAAAGGAGAAGCAGGCATTGAAACTTAGAAAAGGAACCCCATATTTAGGACACCTCCCGGCGGCGAATTGGAAGAGAAATCGCATAATCTGATCAGGTATGCCACATCTAATTTGAGCTGGTTTCTTGTTCAGTATTAAAAAATTATTCTTTTTTTTTTTTAACTTTCAATTTTATTTCACTTGCAATTGCTGGATTTTTCAATATATCAGCAAGTAAAAATAAAATAAAAAAATCAGGTGAATGCAAGAACCTAAATTTATGGGTCCATACACTTATTTTGCTTTCCGGATGGTTGGTAATAGTGTTTTTTTTACTTTTTTAGAGTGTTTTTTGTTGCTTTTATGCTATAATATACTCACATTTACCATTCTTGTTTTCTGAATTTTAAGAAAATGAAATGAAAACTCACCCCCCCAAAAAAAAACAGAATAAAAGTTTGACTGCTATTTCTGTGAGATTATTATCAGTTATAGAGTAATTTCTTGTTTTTTCCACTCCATAATGCAAGACTTTAAAATGCTATGTTATAACCCCTAAACTTATAATCATCCTAAATAGCTTAAGATCAATTATGCAGTCCAAAATTGGTGATTGAAAAAGATGTTATTTTTGAAAGAATAAAATTATTTATTGTTATGTTTTTCCTCCCTTTGGACAGAAATATAGATTTCGCCGTGTTGTTCAACTCAGTGCATTGTTCTCAATGGAGCAAGATAGGTTTGTGCCTCTTCTAACTACTACTTCCTTCATTGTTTTGATTATTCGATTTTCTTTGGACGGTTAAAACTGCTTAATTACATTCAAACATTCACTGACACCCCCTTATAGATGAACTTTAATACATCCCGAGTTGTTTGGATATCTGAAATTTAACTTCTTAAACCACATTAGTCATCATTATAAACTATTTTATTGTCCTTATAAAACAAAAATCACCGTGAAATATTTTCTTGTGCATTGGATGCCGCAGAGAAATAAATAGACACTACGTAACTTTATTGCATTGGAAAAGACTATAATATGACTATCCTATGGACCACTCTTGTTCAGTCAATTATTTCCGAACAAGGGTGTTCTATTCTGTTGGTAATAATGGAAAAACCATTTAGGTTGAAAGCCATAGTGCTGATACCTAAAGCGGTAAACCAGATACCTACTACAGGCCAAGCAGCTAGGAAGAAGTGTAACGAACGAGAGTTGTTGAAACTAGCATATTGGAAGATCAATCGGCCAAAATAACCATGAGCGGCTACGATGTTATAAGTTTCTTCCTCTTGACCGAATCTGTAACCTTCATTAGCAGATTCATTTTCTGTGGTTTCCCTGATCAAACTAGAAGTTACCAAGGAACCATGCATAGCACTGAATAGGGAGCCGCCGAATACACCAGCTACGCCTAACATGTGAAATGGGTGCATAAGGATGTTGTGCTCAGCCTGGAATACAATCATGAAATTAAAAGTACCAGAGATTCCTAGAGGCATACCATCAGAAAAACTTCCTTGACCAATTGGGTAGATCAAGAAAACTGCGGTAGCAGCTGCAACAGGAGCTGAATATGCAACAGCAATCCAAGGTCGCATACCCAGACGGAAACTAAGCTCCCACGACCCATGTAACAAGCTACGCCAAGTAAGAAGTGTAGAACAATTAGTTCATAAGGACCACCGTTGTATAACCATTCATCAACGGACGCCGCTTCCCAGATTGGGTAAAAATGTAAACCTATAGCTGCAAAAGTAGGAATAATGGCACCGGAAATAATATTGTTTCCGTAAAGTAGAGACCCTGAAACAGGTTCACGAATACCATCAATGTCTACTGGAGGAGCAGCAATGAAGGCAATAATAAATATAACATGCTCAAAGTCATTCTTCACATTGAGGCTCATTTTTTCTGTTCACATTATTCCTTGATTTTACATGCATACAGATATTGTTATTGACTTAATTCATAGTCTTCCTTTCATCTCTTATATTGCCATTTTTTTGCTTATGATTTTCTTGTATTTTTGTCATTTGCTAGTCTAAAGTCGAAACTCGTAGCAGGTTAAATTCTCCACACACTTCTGCAATTTGCCTTGAAGTTCTTGGCCATCAACTTCAGTTTTGCCAGGTAATTAGGCTTTTGAAGATACTCTGATCATTCTTTTGGCTATGATACTGACCCCTTGAGCCATAGCCGTTTGTGTATTTCATCCCACGAATTTGGCACCTCTATTGAGATACTTCATGCATTGCATATTTTTTATTGAGAGACAACGAAAATGAGAATTAGATTTTCATTTAATACTTTAAAAAATCAAAATTATGGAGTGAACATCAACAATCTCCAAACTCCAAAGAGAGCCATTAGCTTTCACTGACAGTGATACTTGTCATCATTCCTTCAGTTCATCAAGGCATTTTGCAATATCTTGGACTTTAGAAGATTCCCGGTTTACCAAAACTGTGTGGATATAAGTTTTTCCTTGCTGTCTCTTGTCAAAATATTTGTCTTTACTTCCTTATCAGCTTCTTTTTGAAGGTCCGGTCTCCTCAAATTTCCACTAGTGTATCTTGAGTTGTTGGCCTTTCTTTGTCGTGTTAATTATGGCAGGATCCTAATTCGAAGCATTTAGGCACTACAGTTTGGGATGCATCAATGGTTTTAGTAAAATTTCTGGTAAGGATTAAAGTCCCCTCTGATACACTTGAGCTTCAATTTCTTCAATGGAGCTAGTTTCGATCTGCTATTCGTAAAAATAATATGGGTTTCGATCTGCTGTAACTTTTCTTTTTCTTTTCCTTTCTGAGTGATGACTACAATAGAGAGGATTATTGACTTTAAAAATTGAGTCTGTCTGTTCAGTTATTCATGCTTATATACACTTACTAGTATTTACAGCTTTGAGCATTCATTTATTCCTTCAGTTTTTAGATTATCAGCTGGGAACTTATTGATTTGACATTATAGGAAAAAAACTGTCGAAAGGGGAGGTTTTCTCCATCTAAACTGAGAGGAAAGCGTGTAATTGAACTTGGAGCAGGTTGCGGTGTTGCAGGATTTGGTAGGCTGCCTTATTTCGTTAGGCTCAGTTCTTTTAGATGCCATTTACGGTGAGTCAGTTATTATCTGAGATCGACCAAATCTCTCCACAGGCATGGCACTGCTTGGATGTGATGTTGTTTCAACTGACCAAACCGAGGTTTTGCCATTGCTGATGAGAAACGTAGAGCGTAATACTTCCAGGATAATGCAGACAGGCTCAGGTTCAGATTTCAGCTTAATGTGCCATTTGGATCGTTTTAGCTTTATGTACTGTACACTCTTTATTTTTTTATTTTTTTTTTATTTTTTTTTATTTTTTTTTATTTTTTGCAACACAAATTAAACTCTGTTCTGTTGATATCTTCTAAGAACCTAACTTTCCTGTTAACCTAATGGTGTTTCGTTCTATCAAACAGAAAGCTGCAAACTGGAATTGAATTTGAGGGATGTTGTTGTATTTACTATGACTGACTGAAAGCTCTATTCCTTGTAGACTCATTTGGTTCCATAGAGGCTGCAGAGTTGGACTGGGGTAATGAGAATCATATAAAGGCTGTTGAACCTCCATTCGACTATATCATTGGGACTGATGTTGTAAGTTTTATCATCGACAGGGTAGTGGAATTCTATTTGCTCCTTCGCTGGCCTTTGCCTTGCACTGAGAATAAATTTCTTTATCCTGCTAAGAGATAGGAGACATACAGTTTACCTGGAACCAATACGAATATATATTTACTGCTAGTGCTAAAAATTTAAGAAACCTGTATCCATGATGATTTTCTTTAGGTCATAGTGCATATTTTCTCATTTAGTTTCACTGGTATATTGTATTTTATGCCACGGTTTTTAATTCTGTCAATGATTTTTCAGTGTGTAGGGCTTTTCATAGATGAGAAATGTCAAAATACCTTTGGTTTCTCCTGCACACCGGATATTGTTTATGAAATATAAATTAGTGCCGAAGCTGGTACCAGGAATCATCTTAGGCCTTTGCTTCTCTAAGTTATCTAGTGCTCTGGAACACGTGTATTCCTAAAGATTGCTATTGCTTCTCTCCTTGTCCAAGATTGTTTCTTAAAGCAATATTCCACTCCCCACCATTTGATTGAAACGCAGGAAACAAAGAATAGTTAAGCGTCTCTCGAGGATCTAAGTTTCACATCAGCATTTCCCTTTGGGCTGTCAACTAAGCAATAGAAAGTAACTAGGATAACTGTCTTATTTCTCTATTGTAGTTGATCTGCACTAATAATTACCTGTCTTTACTAGGTTTATGCAGAGCATCTGTTGGAACCACTTTTGCAGACAATAATTGCACTGTCTGGACCGAAGACAACAATTTTGGTGTTGTATCCTTCAAATTTTTATAGAACTTACAAAATTTGTTCTCTTTATCCAGAGCTCTTTTTGATATTTTATGAACTTTTCATTTATAGTTGGGTCATGAAATCCGATCGACAAGTGTCCATGAAAAGATGCTTGAGATATGGAAGAGTAATTTTGAGGTCAAAACTGTTCCAAAAGCAAAGGTAACTTCCAGTCCATCCTGGTAACATCTCATGCTAACCATCAACTAGACCATACATTCTCAGTTCATCATCAGTTGTGTGTATATCTGGAACTTAATTATGATAATCTTTTCTTGAGATAGTCTCAGTAAACTTTGCATTTGGAAATGGTTTTGTTGATTTTGTGTTGAAAGGGCTTCCAATAAATGATCAGATTGACCGTGTATGTTTCGTCGCGTTTTAAGTTCTTGGTCCCAAATTCTCTAACCGTGGAGCTGATATTTTGCATCTCCAATCTGTCCTATGTCCAGAGTTATGGTTATAGATCAATAAAGATTTTTGAACATTCCTTGTCTTTTAACTGATGTGGGCCTACTTTTATGCAGATGCATAGTACTTATCAACACCCAAGCATCCAGTTATACATAATGGGCTTTAAGCCACAAGGAAATACCTCGGAAATTGTTAAAGAGATGGCTCAGCAGCAGACAGAAGAGGTTGGGGAAAGAGAATCTATGCATGGATCAGAGGAAGATAATAGTAAATATGGGTTTAATCAAGATGATGCAACTGACAATGAGGGCAAGGTAGACAAAAACCTGGTTTTGGATCTAGAGAACAGAAATCTTAATGATTGGGAAGCTAGAAGATGTGGTGCGATGGCTGCGAGGCTTCTTCGTGATGTCAAGATAACATAAATTATAGAGGTCAGCAGATGTTATTGAGTTTGCACTGTACTGTACTTTTCTTACATGTGTGCATATCCTGCAGAATCAGTACTTCTCCGAATCAGCAAGTGTTTGGAAACTCCAAAACCAAAAGAATGACTGACAATTTTAATAAAAAGGAAAGAGAAGAAATGTTATGATCTTTGTCTGTGCATCCATAAACTCGTCCGATTCTTTTATCTCCATTCTTTTTGCTGCAAGGAAAAATGAAGATTTTCTACAACACAATTCCGACGTGCTATCAGATTCAGGAAAATGATTGACGAATATTTTCCAAGATTTGGTTTTCCATGGGAAACTTTTTTCAAGCATCTGTTGTGTCTTTTCTCTTGCTAAAAGTAAAAGCTATTTGTTGGCAGCTCCTAAAATGGCAATACCAAAGCCAACACTGTTGCACGCTGCGCTACGAGTCAAGGACATTGAGGCAAGATTGTCTTTTCGCCAGAAGAAGTTCTAGTCTTTGAAGTGCCCTCTTATGGTCCACGTTCAAGTGAAAAATACATCAAAAGAAGCAAGTATGATGCTTCCACAAAGCTGGACATGTAAGCTTTTTGGCAGCATACCTGTTGCAGCAAGGTGTAAGTGCAGTAGATGCAATTTACTAGAGCATGTTAGACCTCAGTTTTCCAACTTGTTTGGGTTTTTGAAGATGTGTCAAGAAAGATGATTTCTCAATTTTATGATTTTTATGTTCAGTTTAGATGTGGAATTTTTACTAATTTAACAAGACCAATGATGCTTCAGTTATTCAAGGCTGACTATCCACTCCATGCATGAGTCAAGAAACACCAAATTTTCTGTTTTCTTTCCCTCTGAAAATGGGATCCATATTCCGTTGTTTTTCCGTTTATTGCTCCTGCTTCTCCATCCAAGATCTATTGATTCATCTTGGCGCTCAGACTATGTTAAAATTATCTTTTTGAAGACGATAGAAAAGTCTCTATCACCAAACAAGCTTTGCAAAATTCGAAAATTAAAATTAAAGAAAAAATGGTTTTCTTAAATTTATGTAAAAAAAAGATGTAGCTCAGTGTGTTGAGTAATATAGTAGGCGAGTGAGTACTTCATTTCCAAACAAGCTTTGGAAAATTCGAAATTTTAAATTAAAGAAAAAATGGTTTTCTTAAATTTATGTAAAAAAGAAGATGTAGCTCAGTGTGTTAAGTAATATAGTAGGCAGTGAGTACTTGATTTCCAGTAAAACCTTAGTCAATTCCCAAAAGACTGTTTCCATCTCTTGTTTAAAGTTAGCACATACAACAAAATAGTCACGAGCATGGGCATCAAAACTCTCGTGTTCCCTAGAAAAATTTCTATAGAATAGCCACTCAAAATATTGATGTCATCAGTGAGAACTGCATATTGAACAAATGTTTGCACCCAAGTTAAAAATAATAAGCTTTATCCAAACTCGCCCACTGAACATACATATTGTCCAACTAAATCTAGAAGCATGCAATTTCTTAAAGCTTACATGATGAAAACAAACCAAAAGATTTCCTCAAAAAAGCTAATCAGCAGAGTGCATTTTAGCATGGTTCCAATAGCAATCTATCATTTGGCTCGTTTGCAGCCCACACCTACCATCTCAAATTCTCAAACCATAATAAAATACGAGTCATCTCAACAGCTTAAACATGACCAATATTGTTTTTACATTCCCTCCCTCCTCCTTGGGGCACAAGTGATGATTTCGTCAACCCTTAGGATCATCTCAGCAGCCTCAGTGGCAGAGAGCAACACCGCCTGTTTGACTTTGAATGACTCAGATATTCCTAGCTCTGCCATATCTCCAACCTGTCAAAGATGCCAAGTTGGATAAGTACAACTGTCAATACGCAAGCAAGATAGTTAATCATCTGCACATGATTACGAATTTTTATTAGTGTTATGAAACAAGGGAAACGACATAAAGAACAAAAACAATAAGGATGGAAGACAGTCCCCTCCCGAGTCCGAAGAGAAAAAAACATTTTCTCTTTGCTTCTCCCTTTTCATTTAAGCCACACAAGGAGACGCTATTTTCCTTCCATCTCTTCTATTTCTTTTAATGTCAACTAACTCACGTACGACTTCTTATTTCTACAGCTAACTAACAACCCAACAGGCATGGAAAAATGAGATCAGAGTAGGTCAACAAAGAACACTTGTGCAACAGATAGAAAAACAATGACTTCCCCACCCCCCCCCCCCGGAGGGGAAGGGGGGGCCACTGCCTTCATCAAACATTGAATTGCAAACAAATTAGAAATAATGCCTCAAAGTTAAATGGTTCTCCTGAGACAGAAAGCAAATCTGACTTGAGTTTTCTGCTTTTGGGTGTGGATGCATGTGTCCATTCGCTAATTTTTGCTTTTGAGAAACAGAAAACTGACCATACTGTGAAATATGTGCTTAGTAAAGATGTATGACATCTCATTTGAAAGTATTGACACGATCACACATGCACTTTAAGATATTAAACCAATTTTAGCTTTTATCGTTTCCATTGTTGCGCTCATTAATTAAAGGCAAATTCAGGCAAAAATAAAGCAGAGACAACAAACTTCATTTCAAAAGTCTTAAATCGGTTACTCACAGATCCAGAGATGACATCAATTCCTGCATTGCTTTCCTCCTTGTGGTGTTCAGCACGAAGCTGAGCAATCAGCTCGGCACTGTCTAATCCAGCATTGTCGGCAATGGTGGTTGGAATTGCCAAAAGTGCACGGGTAAAAGCCTCAATTGCGTGAGATCTTTTACCTGGAGTCTTCTTAGCTAGTTCATCAACCGCCTTAGCCATCACCATTTCAGGCCATCCACCTCCAAGTAAAACCCTACTGTCATTTACTGTCTGAGACAGTACACACAATGCATCGTGCAGAGATCTTTCAGCTTCATCCAGTACATGAGGGCTGAAAACAAGGGATAAAGGGAGATGTTAACAAGGAAACACATCACAAGTATCATCACAGTTAAAAAATCCAAAAAGAAAACAAAACAACTCCAGAAGCAAAGCAAGTTGACCAATTATGAACATATCATGAATTCCATTTTCAGAGAACAAAAGCATTGAGTATCATCACAGTGAAAAAATCCAAAAAGAAAACAAAACAACTCCAGAAGCAAAGCAAGTTGACCAATTATGAACATATCATGAATTCCATTTTCAGAGAACAAAAGCATTGAGGAGTCAAGCAGGCCCTCTAGTAAAAGTATAATCAAACAGCCCAACAATGTTGCAGTAAAACTACTTCCACTGTCCAAAGTTACGGGTCTTGGTTGAAAGTCGAAGCTTGTCAATTGACATCATATCTTTACTTTTCCAGTCTTTCTAACTTGTTATGTTGCCGTTGCAGAACATCAATCAATCAAAAGTTTATCTTTATTTTGCTAAAATCCTTTACTTCCTTATTCATTGTCTTTAGTTCCTGTGACGCTGAAAGAGTTTGAGTGAAGGAAAGTGTATTAGAGTTTAGGTAAGGGATTCACCTAGGGTGAACAAGTAGGAATAGATCAGACAGTTAGACACTGGGCTTCTAATTGGAACAACGTTGTTTTGGGCCCTTAATAGATCTTTTCAATAGCTGTGCTGTTTTCTTGGACTTGGTCCAGATGGTCCTTCGAATTCAGTTCTCAAGCTTAGTTCCGGTTCTTTTATTTTGATCAGGTAAAGTAACTTTATTTTAAACTGGCACCTAGCTGGTGCAGTGTTTTTCTTAATAACCATGGTGTTCGGGCCAGCTGCACAACCAAGCTTGTGCAGTGTTGTGTGCATAACAACCACCCAAAAACTAAGTTCCTTACTGCACATTTAAGGAACCGAGTAAATCTATCAAACAGTCTATTATTTACATCCTTTGATTTGCTTTGTATTTGATCTCATATGCTCTCCTTTTTCTCTGATTTCTTTCTCTCCATATTCCCACCATATTGCTGCAGGGACAGTATTCCAAATTACTTCTGCGTCCTTGTTTAGTCCTTTCCTATTCCAGCTGAGGAGTAGTTCTTTAGTGTTTCCTGACAAACACCACTTCACCTCTAGAAGGTTCAAAAGCACAATTGATCTCTTATCTATGTTGCTCGGACTCTCCAAAAATATCGCTGGATGCGTGTTAGATCCTGCAAAAGTAGTGTACTTTTGGAGGATCCGACACGGGTACGGCAGCATTTTGGAGAGTCCACGCAACATAGCTTCTTATATCCTTGTTTAGCTTTTTTTTTTTAATATCCTTGTTTAGCTACTGTTCATCTTATATCTTATCTCTTCTTTACTCCGTCCGTTTCAATTTAGATGATGTAGTTTGACTGGGCACAAAGTTTAAGGAAAGAAAAAGACTTGAAAGCAGAGGAGAAACTACAATAAAAACGGACAATATAACACCAACGTACCTTGCACCTCTCAAAACAATTGTACATGCCTGACCCATTTCAACCCCAGAGAAGTGGATCAGCTTATCTTCACCAATCATAATCTCCTCGATAAGTTTGCAGTGGCCAAGCTTGACAGACTCTGGATTATCAAAGGTTGACGCAATTTCTCCCCCAGTAACTAAACCCAACCGCTCAATACCATCAAAGTCAGCATGCTCTATTGCAAGTATCCCTGCATCAGCAAATAGTTCCTCCGGGAAATTGTAGATAAGCTGTCGGTTAACAAAGCAATTTATTCCATGACTAATGATCTTTTGCACCTTCTCTCTCATTTTTTCCTTTTCAGCTGCTTCTAGATCAGCAACCTTGGCCATTGAGTCAACTCGAACACGTGCGCCATATATCTTCACTTTATCTGTATCCATAGCAGTATTTGCCACCAAAATCTTAGCATTTTCGATGCGTTTTGGTTGGCCAACCCCAATCTTTTTGTCCAAAATAAACCTGCATAGAGTCAACTTTACCACTTCAAAAGAGAACATGTAATCAAAAGCTTGTCCTAGATATGTGGCTTTGTCTTTCAAAGAGAAAAAGGAACAGAGAAACTTATGCTCTATTGAGGTGGACTGGGGTAACAGGGAAAACTTATTATTCGTATACAATACCAGAAATTTTCTTCTAAATCAAGTCTGGCTGTTAACAGGGATAACTTATTATTCATATACAATACCAGAAACTTTGTTCTAAATCAAGTCTGGCTTATATGGTTTGGACTCATTAATGTGGATTGAGTGCAGCTACTCTAATCTAGAGAATACTGGAAGAAACAAACACGATCTAGCCGTACTGGAACAGAGTTCTGCGGTTAATTCTCGGACTAAGGTCGACCGAGCATTGTGAAAGATTCCGTACATCCATCCGACATGGCCATCGTATAAGATAATAACCTAGCTTCAAGCTGGCCCAAGGCTTACTCTTATAAAATTGGTTGAGGCCCAAGAAAACCATATATGGAAACATCAGGTTCATCAACTGATGGATATAGTAACGTATGCAGTGGAATTACATTGGATAAACAAGCTGCTTTCACTAACAAAGAACGGAAATGCAAGCATCAATAAAGCAATAGTCATATGTCTTTCATCAGAAATTACCATGTTTGAGAATAATGAACAAATAATTAATCAAAAGAAGAGCTAGACATGCGACAAGAATACATCTAGCAGTAAATAGTTCGAACCAGAGGACTCACCCTTCATCTAAAAATGAATCCTTCAATGAACCTCCAGGTTTCTTAATTATCTGGATTGCCTCAAGATTGGTACTTCCCTGTCAGTACAATTAATTTAGAAAAAGATTTAATACACGATAAATGAATAAAACTAACAAACAGGAGGGGATGTGAAAGACTTAATGGGGAAAACACACATCTTTTTACCAATAGATAAGTGACATATACATCTTCATGTTAATTTTTCACGTAAGACAACATAAGGCAGAAGGTGATGAATCCACAATATGAAAGAAAGCGAAAGTCCTAATTTTGGCAAAATCAAATTTCAAACCCTTCGAAGAAAAATATTTAGTGTCTAACCAAGGAAAGAGGAAAAAACTATGTTTTTTAGATAAGGAAGAGGAAACTAAGAGTCAATTTTAAAAAAATGAAATTACTTTCAGATGTCTCTTTTTCTAATTTTAGTCGCATATAGTTCCTCTCTGTCTGCACGCAACATAAGATTTTGCTGCATCGGCTTCGATGAGAATCACAGTAGCTCCCTTCACACAATGTTGTGTCTCACAAGCACAAAAAATCAATGATTTAAGTTACATACACTACAGCTTAAAAAATTTTTACACTATCCGTGAATTTTAACCTGTTAGTAGGAGAGTAACAATTTTTCATTAATGTTTATCATAGAGATTTACCTGGAATTGCTGCCTTATAAGAGACCTCATTGTCTAAGTATTTTCTACACCGTCAGTACATAAAATTTAAACTGAAAAAGTAATACAACCCTTCAGGGATGTGATGCCACATAAAAATTACTTCAGATTTGATTTCTTCATCTTCTTACGCAACAATCCACATTGAGTGATGCAGGAATATTCACCAGTAACCAACTCCCTGATTAGTCTATATGCCACTTAACTGTAAATAATAAATACTCCCTCATGCTCATTGAATGACACAGATTGAGTGCATGTAATCTTGATAAGGTAAGTTTGACTAATGCATAATACACGCAAAGCAAGAGTAGGACAAAGAACTATTAATGTAATACTCCCATATGAAATGCTTCCTTTTGCTCAATGAGTCAAACAAAGTGATTTAAGTGCATTACTTCATCAATTTAATTGGAACACCTATATGTATTTAAGGTCAAACATTAAACAACAGTACTTAATTAGATTCTCATGGCAAGAACTTAATTAGTCAAAGTGCTTTGTCAGAACATACAGTTATAACTCATTGCAAAGTTGTCAAGCTACACAACCGATGCAGATAAACATCTATAGGATAATGCAAAAGAAGTAAAGGGATTGGAAAAATAATTGCAGATAGAGCTGAGATCACAAGATTAAAAAGAAAAAATATGCTCTTCATAAGTTGCTAAAACGGATGAAATATTCACCTTTAACCTCATAACCGCATCAACAGCCAGTTTTGCAAAATGCTCCTTGTCCTGAGACAAGATTTTTGAGCTCAAAGTAGTCCTTGCAATATTCATTAAGTCTGATCTAAACTTCTCTGCAACAACAAAAGATTAAAAAAATTATGACCATATCATTCTGAGAAAATCAAGATAAATAAATAACTCTTGGCTACCAGCTACTAGCATCCACGAAAAGTTATTTTGGAATAGTGCAAAGAGAAAGTGGTACACCAGTCTAAGGAAAATCAATATATGCCACTGAATGTAGGTTCTCTGCTATGATGTTACATACAGCTAAACAACTCAAGCAACGATACCTGCATCCTGCTTGTTATCCACGACCTTCTGCTCCAGAACATTGCGTGCACACTCAGATGCCATCCGGAAACCTGATATAAAGAAGCAAATAAACAATTGAAAGGTACACTAAGCATGAAACCAAATTAGGTACCTTAAAGAACTTTAACTTTATTACTAAGAAATAGGAACTTGCTATGTTTTGTCTTTGATAAACAGAATAGAAATAGATTTTGGCAGTTTTGGATGGAAATGTCCAGGTGGGAAGGAATTTATGCTGTCTCTTGGCAATCTCTCCTTTATAGTAGTAGATTTTTTTTAAAACGGAGGTGTCTGGGCCAGCTTGCTGCACCTTGACTATTCCTCCGAGTACGTTCTACCTCCGTACCAGGTAACTCTCAGCCCACCAACACTAAGGCAAATGAGATGCAATCACCTAGTAATTTTATCTTGCTGGAAGTTGTAGTTGAGTTCTTATTTTCTTTAATTGTATTAGGTAGAAACTATAGATTCTAACTAACACAGACTCCATCATGAAAACCAGCATTGTGACAGATTTGAATGATATTTGCTACTGCAGCATTCAAATATCATCCAAGGATCACTCTTTTGCTAGATTTAACAAGTGTCAAGCATCAGAAAGCAAGTACACCAGATGCTTCAATAGATAAAAGAAAAGATGCCCAATTAAAGACAAAGTAGCAAGCATGCATTGCGCTAATGGTACACAAGCAAATTTGATAAAGCAGCCCAGAAGCAGTTTGTACTCTACTGTTCTGCAGATAGGAAGCTTGTATACATACACATGTGTATAAGAGAGACATCATATCATCAGAACAAACCTGAAATAATTGTCATCGGATGAATTTTTGAATTTACCAGCTTTTCTGCCTCCCTCAAAAGTTCTCCAGCCAAAACGACTACTGAAGTTGTCCCATCACCAACTTCATCATCCTGTACCTTGGAGATATCTTACAAAGGGTCAAGGTATAACATTCATAAATCATATCATTTTGTTCCCGAGGATATTTCCTGTGATAAAGTTTCAGCGTCTATCTCCTTCAACTATCTGTAAAAAGTCTTAAATAAGCGCTACATATCTGGCCTTTTTCTTGAATTATAACTTAAACCAGAAAACAAAGAGGAAGCCCTTATTACCTGTTTACTGATTTGTCCCCACTGTAATCTATTAACTATGTTGCATGGATTCATTTTCGGATGCAAACCAACTTTAACTTCACTACTTGTGTCCATGGAGTTACCAACCAACTAGAGATACTATTATTTCAAGAAAAATGATCCCTTACTTCAGGAAAATATAACTAGAAACACAGAAATATCAAGGATACCCACGAGGACCTTGGCAGCTGGATTATCAATATGGAGGGACTTCAAAATTGTTGCACCATCATTGGTAACTGTAACACTGTGTCCTCTGCCTGTCGATTGCAAAATTTTATCCTGCAAATATTGAAAAAAAATGTAGTATCTGTCAAACCACAACCCTAACTCTTCTCGATACCTGCAAAATACATAATCAAAGACTGGTCTTACCATCCCCTTAGGTCCTAAGGTTGTCTTTACCAAGTCAGCAATTGCCATTGCTCCAATAAACGACGCCTAGAATTTCAAACACTCAATGATCAATAATAAGCATAAGTTGCTATAAAAAAAGATTGTAGCAGATTCTCAACAAAACACATATGTTAACATGGCAATGCAACATATAAACCTGTCTTTTCTTTCAATATAGATGGAAAACTACCATAACTGTATACAATGATCACATGATGCTCGGATTTTCACTATTCAATGGCAACGTCAGAAATCACTAAGAGTCTTCAAGATTTAATACATACAACCTATATAAATAGTATAATTTTTCAGTGACGGGTGTTCAGCTGACCACCCTTGAGCCTATGTGGCTCCGCCACTGCTCAGTAACCTGTTAAAATAGCTTCTACGCAACCTCAGTCGGTATTTGCTGAGGAATGAGACTTACCATCCTAGCGCGCTCTCCCTTTTCTTCAGTGGCTTCATCTTTGAAGATTTTGTCAATCTGAGAACATAAAAGAACATTACATATAGAATCCACAAGCTAAATATTATTAAAACAAACCAAAAAAGGGGGTAAAACAACCACAACGTACCGCCATTCGAAAGAAAATGGAGATGCGAAGCTGAAACCCAAAAGCTGAACTTTAACAACGATCTAAAACAACAAAACATGTGTTATATCACAACATTACAGAGTCAGTTCAAGAACAAATGTAATTATTCAAAACCATACAAATATAAAATCCACTTCCCTTTTTCAATTAACGAAATAAAAATTCAAATCTTTTTTTGATAGTGAATAAAAATCAAATCTTTAATGCAAAACATAGCAAAACTAGGTCATTTACAGAATACCCATTAGTTAGAAAATCTTAAAGAAAACAAACATAGTGAGTAAATCAGCCACAAGAGAGCTCTTTAGGAAATTATATGAAAAATCAAGACTAGGGCAAAAGATGTGTAGAAGGATAATTTAAGGGAACGGGGCTTGTTTAATGCTATAAAAGAGCATGGAAAAGAAAAAATGAACCTGAAATAATAATGCCGTCGACGGTGGCGGCGCCGGAAAAAGCTACTGGTACGAGTGAAAGTGGGAAAGTGAGAAGGGTTCGAGAGGAAGTGAGAAAATGAGGTTTAAATGGTCTGATTGGAATTTTATTAGTTTACTGAGGGCATAATGGTCCTTAGAATTTATTGGGCTTGCTCGTTATGCATCGGGGCAAGTGCACAGATAGCCGATTTTCGGACTCCTATTTAAGCCATGACCTAAATTATTAAATATTTGTAAGTCTAGCCACTTCAGAAGCAAGTGTTTAAGTATTGCTTCGAAGATGTGATCTTATACAAAAGGGAATGTTGAGTTTTACAGGTGGTTTTGATTGTTATTACATGTCGTTTCATAATGTATTGTATTGTATTATTTGATGAATAATATTTGGATAAATTGTATCGTTTGACATCGTTTTATGATATCACGCACCAACAATATGAAGAATAAACTTGCAATATTGCAAAGAAAAAATAGGATACGAAGTAGAATTATTATATAAAATAATATATGGAAAATGATAAAATATGACTATTTAATTGTAAAGAAGGGCAAGATGAGATAAAAAAAAGTAAGGTAACGACGCCACCACACCAAATTCGTCGTCCCATAAAATAGCACTTTTTGTTGTTACGTAACAACGAATTTAACGATACGATACAATAAAATTTGAGTAACAATCAAAACAAATATTGTATTTAAAGTAACCATACGATATATTTAAAGTAACCATGCGATACAATACAATAGGTAACAACTATCCAAACAAGTTGTTATGAGGAATTTGATTTTACATGAGTGAAAGGATGGTTAAATTAAAAGTTTATAAGTTGGATGGATATATGCAGAGGTGAGGGCGGAGTATGAAACAAACCCAATAAGTTTTGTTTAGATCTTATATTTATATAAAAAATGTTGAAATCTAGCCCTAGGTTCCGCCATTAGTGAGCTTGAGCGAGAGAGAGCAAAAAAGACGATAGAGAGATACAGAAATGAGAAGCAATTTTCTGTTAACTGCCTTGAACTGAAAATGAGTTGTACATCACATATTTATCCTAACTAACACAACCTATTTTGTGAAAGAGGAAATTAACAACTAACTTATTAACTAACTACTATCTAGAAGAGTACTACATAAATGTACAACTATTTACGACTCTAATTTTAACACTCCCCCTCAAGTTGAGAATGAAAAAATGTCTTTCATTCCCAACTTAGAGACTAATGCTGCATGTTGCTGATGTCCAAGTGCTTTGGTCAGCACATCTGCTGGTTGCTCTTGACTAGCAATATAGGATGTCTTGATCAGCCTTTCTTGAATTGTTTCTCGGATGAAATGGCAGTCTATTTCTATGTGTTTTATCCTCTCATGATACATAGGATTTGCAGCAATTTGCAATGCTGCTTTATTATCACATAACAACTTCATGGGCATCTTTAAATCCACACTCAGCTTTTTCAATAGACCCTTAAACCACACAAGTTTAGCTACTCTGTGTGCCATGCTTCTGTACTCAACTTCAGTTGAGCTTCTAGATATAGTGTGCTGCTTCTTAGCTTTCCAGTATATGGTTGAACTTCCAAGCTTAATACAGTATTCAGTAACAGACTTTCTTGACATAGGACATGAGGCCCAGTCTAGATCACATAATGCTTCTATTTCTTCTTTGATGTCACTTGACATTACTTCTTGATGTACCTTACTACATAAAGTGTTGCTTCATAGTGAGATTTCTTAGGTGCATGCATAAACTGACTTAGGGATTGCACTGCATATGAGATATCATGCCTTGTTATTGTTAGATACAAAAGTTTTCCTATGAGCCTCTGATAACTCCCCCTGTCATCCATCAACTCATCTCCCTTACTTATGTTTGTGCAAGTATCAAACTCAGTGCTTGTGAGCTTCAAGTTCTGCTCCATTGGTGCCTCTTTAGGTTTAGAACCTGCCAAGCCTGCATCAGATATCATCTCTAATGCATATCTTCTTTGAGTCATAATGATGCCCTCCTTTGATCTAGCAAACTCTATATCTAAAAAATATCTAACTTCTCCAAGTTCTTTCATTTTAAAATATTGATGCAGAGATTCCTGTGCAATTTTAATTTCCTGCAGATCATTACATGTAACAAGAAGATCATTTACATAGACAGAATCAAAACAAACTTGTTATCCACATTTTTAGTAAATAAAGAGTAGTCATTCTTGCTTTGCTTAAAACCAGACAAAGACAAGGCTTGAGACAACTTCAAATTCCATTGCCTAGATGTCTGCTTGAGCCAATATAAGGATTTAAGTAGCCTACAAACCTTATGATCCCCTAGCTATTAAATCCTTAAGGCAAAGTCATATAAACTTCCTCTTTGAGGTCTCCATTCAAAAAAGCATTTGAACATCCATTTGAAATATAGGCTAGTGCTTGAGAGCAGTAGTGGCAATAACAGCCCTCACAGTTGTCAGCAGCAATAGGAGAGAATGTATCATGAAAATCCAATCCTTCCTGTTGTGTAAAACCTAGCAACCAGTCTGGCCTTGAATCTTTCTATAGTACCATCTGCATTGTACTTTATTTTATACACCCATTTACATCTAATGGGTGTTTTACCGACAGGTAAGTCAACTACAGACCAAGTGTTGTTCTGTTCTAATGCCTCAATTTCAAGTTTCATAGCTTCAACCTATCTGTCATCCTTACTAGCTTGATAAAAAGATGATGGTTCAACATTAGCAGGAAAAAAAAGTAAGAAATGCTCTAAAAGTTAGAGAGAGGTGAGTATAGGAAATAAAATATTGGATGGGGTGATATGTAAATAAGTGGATGGTAGGGGTGGATGAACATAGTCAGTCAACCAAATTGGTGGCTTACTAGTTCTCCCCGACTTCCTAGGTGGAGGTAAGTCAAGTGAGGCAGAAGAACCAGGCTCAACAGAGGTAGCATGGTCCATGGGAGAAGAATAGAGCATGGTGTCTGATGGAATTGACTCTGCAGAAGAAAATAAATTGGTAGTGAATGGAGGACTGTGAGGTTATGAAGGTGAAGTTGGCAAGTTGTTGATTGGAGACGAGGGAAGTGAGGTAGGTGGTGCTTGTGTAGATGAGACTGGCACATAATCCAGTATTGAAGAAGGAGAAAATACATCAGAAATAGTTGTAGGCATGAGTATTGAGGAATCATGTTGTGACGAAAGCAATTTCTCTTTTGGACATTTGAAAGGAAAGATATTTTCTTTAAAGATAACATCTCGACTGACAAAGATTTTCCCAAAGTCAAGTTCATATAGTTTATAGCCTTTCTATGTAGAAGCATAACCTAGAAGAACAACAAGAATGGATTTTGGTTGGAATTTGTCGTGAGAGTCAAGTCTGGTCGCATAACAAAGACATCCTATTATTCTTAGGTGATCCAGTTTAGGGGAACATCCATGAAAAAGCTCATAAGGAGTCTTTCCATGTAGAACAGTTCTAGGCAATCTATTAATGATATGGGTAGCTGGCAGAATGCATTCACCCTACAGTTTTAAAGGTAATGTAGCTTGAAACCTCAGCTCTGCCTACTTCAAGTAGGTGTCTATGCTTTCTTTCTACAACTCCATTTTGTTGGGGAGTATAGACACAACTACTTTGATGAACAATTCCTTTGGTTTGAAATAGATTAGAACAAAGAGAATTGAAGAACTCATAGCCATTATCAGACCTGAAAATCTTGACAGTAGAAGAAAATTGGTTTTCTACCAAGAAGAAAATTTGATAGAATCACATAGACATCACTTTTCAATCTTAAGAGAAAGGTCCAAGTCATTCTTGAAAAATCATCAACAAGAGTCAGGAAATATCTTTAACCAATGTAAGTATTTACTCTATAAAGACCCCACACGTCCATATGAACAAGTTCAAATGAACATTTTGATCTTGAAATGCTAGTAGGAAAAGACAACCTAGTCTGTTTAGCTAATGGACAAACATGACATTTATAAGAACTAGAATTAGACAACAATGTCTTTATTGTAGGTATTTTCTTAAGAACTGAATGAGGAGCATGCCCAAGTCTTTGATGCCACAACATAGTTGAGGAGGTAGTCTGGTTAGTGGTCATACATGTGGAAGTGAGTGGCGCAGCAGGCTTTGAAGGATTGAGGATGTAAAGTCCATCCTTGAGGCTACCAATCCCTCTCACATTGCCACTGAAGAGGTCCTGAAAGAGACAGAATCAAGATAAAAAGAGACTATACAATTCAACTCCTCAGTATATCTGGACACTGACAACAGATTCTACTGAAACTTAGGCGCATAAAGCACATCATGTAGAGTTTAAGTGTTGGACAGGGCACATGATCTTGTATGTGTAACCTGATTACTTTCTCCATTTGGTAAATGGATTGAAGTAGATTTCGAATGGGGAACAAGCTTATGACAGGATAATGGATCTAAGGATGAAACTATGTGATTTGAAGCACCAGTATCAATGATCCACTTAATTTGGTTAGCAATTGAATTACCTGCCATATTGGCCACATCTGCTGGTGTTTCTTTTTTCTGCTGGTCCTTTTTCCTTGCTTAACATTCTGAGTATTTGTTGATACTGCTCAGGTGTGAAAATTAGAGTTGTTGCATTGATCATGCCATTTATCATATCAATTCCATTAGTTCATGTATGTTTAGTCTCCTCCATTATACTCACATTATGTGCCACGGGTGTGTAGTTGTCATTAGCACCTCTTCTTTTATTGTTGAACTTAAAACCTGGTGATACCCTACCAACTTATAGCAAGTATCTCTTGTATGTCCTTTTATATTACAATAATCACAAAACATATTTGTGTTCTTTCTAAACTTCACATTTGAGTTGTTTACTGACACAAAAGAGCTGCTCTCGGTATTCATAGGTCCACTTTCCAGAATTCCACTTCGTACACCATATCCACACTTAGCCTTTGACTTTCTTCCTAAACTATCATTGAATATGCTTGATCAAGCGAAGGTGTTGGCTGCATCATTAGTATTTGACTCCTTTGAGAAGCATAAGTGTCATTTAATCCCATTAAAAACTTCATAAGTTTCTATTGGCGAAGAAACTCAACAAATGTCTTAGAC